TTGGTGAAATCATTCTTAAATATTATGTTTTCAGGGATACTTTAGTATTTTGTCAGGTTGACCCGTTAAGAGTTGCTGATTTACAAAATTACGTTTATGAAAAGATAACTGATGAAAATTATGAAAAGATTATGAATCATGTTTATAAATATGATCGCAAATTCCAACAAATCGGACTTCCTGCCAAATTAATTACAAGCTTAGCCGCTACATCTGCTGACGCAACAGTTGATGATGTTATTATTTCATGCACAAAGATGGAAGTTTTAGAGGATAAATGCATTACACCAGGATACGGTTTAATTGAAGAATCAGTTAAAGCAATACCACGTTTATTCAGTAAGGAAGATCCATTCATGATTCCAGCTCAACATATTGACGTTCGTTCACTAAATGGAGGTTGCATCACTCCTGAAGGTATCAGTTCAGATTTCTCATACGCTCTTCATAATGTTACAGATGTTGTGTTAGCATTTCCGAAGAATGCAATGCAAAGAACAGTTTTAGAAAATCCAATGCTTCGAGGTCTTCAGGTCACTATAGATTCCAGAAACTTCCCCGATCAAGCGATGACCACAGTGGGCGACATATTCTTTACACGTATGCTTCAAGCTTCTGATTTAGATGGAGTGAATGAATGCACAGAAGAATACGAGGACTCATTAACTAGACCACTGAATGATGATAATGGCACGCCATTAGCTAGAACATGGAAAGACCAAACTTCATTCTTATGCACTATTCCAGTTCAACGTGATGGAGCGGGTATATTCTTTGATGGATTAGAAACTTTCAATTCACAAGTTACAGTACAAGTGAAAGCTTATCCAATCATTCAGGGTGAAAATGACACTTACTGTTCAAAGGTGACAAATCCTCCTCAGGTTTGGTTTACTAGGACTACGTATTGGACATGGACACCGGATGAAGGTTTGAAATATCATCCAACAGGTACACCACCACAGTATAGAAGTTCATATGATGAAATATTGATGAATAGAAATGTATAAAATTATAAATTTATTTTTGATTAAATGGATTTAAATTCTGAAGAATTAGCGGGAGTATATAATACATACGTAGATGATATGATTAATGAAGCATTGAGTGATAATAGAAATGCTCTATCTAAGGAAAAATTAATGAAAATTCCATATTCTGAATGTTACTTAAATTCAATCACTGCAGCAATTGGTAAACAAAATAAAGGTAAAACATTAACGATATTAAAACAAATTATCATTATTGCTAACACTTCCCCCCATTCACATGTGTTAATTTATATCAACCGTTCAGGTTCACCTTCAGATGATACATTTGAATCTTTAAAGCATTTAATCAAAATTCCAATTATTTATTTATCACAAGAAGAAGCAGAAGATTATTTAAAAAACTTTTTAATGTATAAAGAATTATATAATACAATCAAGAAGCAAGGATTAGAGGATAAAATTATTGATAAACAACGGGATGAATTATTTGAAACACTTTCTATTTCAAATTTTGATAGAGAATTTTTGCATTCACTCATTTTTCTAGATGATGCGGTGAAATCAAAACTAATAACAAATGAGAAATCATATTTTAATCAGTTATTAACTCAATGTCGACACATTCAGTGTTCATTCTTCATGGCTGTTCAATACTTCAAAGCATTAAGCACAAACATTAAATCAAATCTATCAACACTTTTCATTTTCAGTGGTTTTAGTCGTCAACAGTTGAACGTTATGCTTTATCAAGTGAATTTACCAATGAGCATTAATGAACTTTACACACAATATCAACAATTAGGTGAACATGGAAAAATAATAGTTGATTTAAATAAAGGATGTGTTAAATTTGATTAACTTTTTATAATTAATTTTTATTTTTTATTTATAATTAAACATGACAGAAATAGCAAATCTTTTACAGGTTCCATTAAAACAAGGGACAAACAAAAAGGGGGTGTGTATAATAGAACTATGAAAGTTCCAGACGGAATGAAAGAATTAGTTCATATTGTTGCTGGTCTTCAAAAAGATGTTAAACAAATGAGAAACGTTTTAACATTACCAGAAGCTCAAGCATATGCCAAACGTCAGGTCCAAATTGGGAAGCACATGAAGCAGACATTACAGGTCCAAATGGAAAACCTGATGGTATAAATGAAGTTTTCGTTACTGATGGTCATGGTAATATTAAAGTCATAAATGGTTACAAATTAACTGTATCTGATTATCCTAAACGTAAAGCATATAATGAATGTTATCCTATGCAATTTGATGAAAATGGAAAAGCTGTTAAACAATACATTGGAGAAGGTGAACATGGCCCAATTAATTCATACCGTCATAATCCATATTCTTATTTCAATGAAGAATTAAACGCTATTGAAGAAGGACCGGATGGATTACCACGATATGTTAATCAGTTTGATGGTCAATATGCAAATTTGAGACCTGAAATTCCAGCTAAGAAATTCTTTAAAGTTGCTTTATTCGATCCAGTGTTCAATGAACAGAAAGAAGCAATGAAAGCAGAATTTAAACCAATTCAAGTGGCAAGAATTTCTTCATCTTCACTTGCAGAAGCGTTCAAGGAATTGATAAAGAAACCACTTTATTCTCAACAAGGTTATAACTTTGATTTAATTAAAGAAAGTGATAGACGTAAATTAGAAAAATCAGATGGTTTTAAGAATGCATGTAATGAAATGATTAAAGATATTGTAAATGATAAAATAAGACTGGAAGAAACTCAAAGCAATATCAATAACATTATTGGTGCAGTTACAAAGAAAGTATAAGCAAACAATGATGAACCTTGGGATATTACCGTAACAACTAAATCAAACTTTAAATATATTTTTTCTTTTTTATTCAATTATAAATGAGAAGACGTTTCACAAGTCAAAAGAACACTAACGCAAAAGCAGAGATTACGGTTGGTTATAACGTAAATGATGATAAATCACGAATTATTCAAAATGTTAAAGTTAATGTTAGCCCTGAATTAACAAGGTCAGCAACTCAACCAAATTTATTAACTCGTGACTTACCGAAGAATGAGGAGAATGAAGAAAACCATGAGAATGGAGACCCAATCATTTTATCTGAACCCGGTAAAGAACCTGTTGAAATCCCCACATATCCAACATACCCCCCACCTCTTTCATCAAACATCGAGAACCCAGGAATATACGATTCCAGTCGCAATGCGCCATATAAAATAGACATTAATTCTGAATTAATGAAAATTTACCGTGATATAATAACTGATAATTATGATTCAATAATAAATTTAATTGATCAATCTGGTTTAATTATTTTACCTTATGAATCATTAATTCACATTATCGCCATTCTTTGTGATGTTCAAGATTCAGACGTTAAGATTCAATTTTTCATAGATGATGAGGTTTCATGCTGCGGAACAGTTGCAAAAATAAATCCTATAAAGGATATTAGCACAATTAAGATATCAAAGAACGGAACAACAACTGAACTTCATTTAACATATAATGATATTTATAATAAAATAGTTGATGAATATAAAATATCACTTGAAAAATTCTTTGTTAAGGCTATTTAATATTCAAGCATTAACATTATGAATAATAATCCTTTGAATCATAATCAATAATAATTGACCTTTCACCAGTTTCTATCGTTTGTTTTATTTCTTTTTGTTCCCCACTATCTGGATCGGTCATTGTAATTGTTTTTGTTATAGTATCAGCTTTATCTTTAACTTCAATCTTTTTTCCATCAGGATATTTAAACCAAAATTCCAAAAATTCGATATTGTCAATCTGTTCATATTTTAATCTATCAATTGCATTTTTAATACCATCTGAAAATCTTATGAAATGGTCATTATATGGGTTTGATTGAACTAAATTTGAATGAAGTGAAATATAACCGATGATGAATATGACATTGACTCATATTTTCTGAAAACACTGAAATTTATAACATGAATGAATTTCTTATTCGTTGAATTTATGAATTCTTGAGGTAATCTTATTCTAGTTTTATTTATCACTGGAAAATAACGCTTTACCATATTTTTAATCGTAATAAAAATGTCAATTATCAATATTATTTCGAATAATAACTAGTGGAATTAAATTTAACAGTTAGTGAATTTATAATGTTACTCTCGTTTCTGTGAGTGGTAAATTTAATCCCATTCTTTTAGACCCTTCAGATTATATATCATTTATTAAAGGTGACCATGAAAAAACGTATGATATGCATATAAATAATGTGATAACGAAATGGGATATTAACACAATTTTAAGTTATTTAAATGAATCATTTATCGTTTGGTATGAAGAAAATTTTAAATCAAAACCTGATAAACTTTTTGAACTTGATGAAATAAATAACCTTATTAAATTTCCGCTGAAAATTAAATTTTGTACTCCTCATCTTCGTTCATTGTTGGGGAATATTAAATTTTGAAAAAGATGTTGGGGATGTTTTGTATTCTGACACGGTTCCAATTTCATTTTAATCAAATGTGATAAAGTTAATACCCCAATGAGATTTTCACATCAAACATTAGACCCTAACTCTTACCCATCAATACAAAACATTTTATCCATCAACTTAAACATATTTTCTTTATCATATCCGTTTCAATTATCCGGGAATTCATTTATTCTTCATTCAAAAGATTTATCAAATATTAAATTTAGAATAACTGACCTATTTGATTGTGATTTAGAATTCATGAATGAAATATTATGGCAATTTCAAATAGAAAAAATAGCTGATGAGATAACGGATTAAATATTTATTTTTAAATCATAATAAATGATTAAACAACAGCAACCACAGCAACTTAAGGCACAGACCATTACATACGCCACATATGCATATAATTCAAAGACGGCAGAACAAACGCAAAGGTTGAAATATGGAGATTTGGAGATAGTATTGAAAAATGACCATTTTGAATTCGTTTGCAAGGGTGGTGCAGTGATATCAAATATAAAAGAAATTTTATTTATGAATTCAAAAATTAAAGGAATAACGGATGATATAACATCAATTCCACCAGAAGAACAAAGATATTACGCATTAAATGCATTTCCTAAAGTTTTGAAGATTGGAAGATTTAATTTAAATGAGGAATTCATAGAAGGTTTCCTAAATGACATAATGAAGAAGGCAGATAAGGAATATGTGGATAGTGAGTTAATGAAGAAGGCAAATTTGGTTTATGTGGTAAGTGAATTAATGAAGAAGGCAGATAAGGAATATGTGGTAAGTGAATTAATGAAGAAGGCAGATAAGGAATATGTGGTAAGTGAATTAATGAAGAAAGCAGATAAGGGACTTGTGGCTAGTGTGTTAATGAAGAAAGCAGATAAGGAATATGTTAATGAAAAAGATAATGAAATTATAGAAAGGGTTGACTGGTACCATGAACGGACATCGAAGATTTTAAAAACTAAAGCTGATACAGGATGGGTTTCAGAATGTTTAGACCTTAAAGCGGATAAAACTTATGTTAACGATGAGTTAGAGAAGAAAGCAAATAAGACTCATACACATACAAGTTTTACAACTGTTGCTATAGAAAGTATTGAAGGAACGGTTGACGTAACTGGTGGTGATGAATTATATTGTAAACCTCCTAACTTTCCACAAGGTTTAACATCGGATGACGACATAACGACGATGAGAAACATTAGATGTAAAGATGTTTATGTCATGAAGGATGAACATAATATTAAATTCACTGCTCAAGATTTATATGACAAGAAAGCAGATAAAACAGAGCTTCAAACATTAAAGACAGAAATACTTCAAACATTATATCCTATAGGCTCTATTTATACGTCAATGAACTCAACAAATCCAGAAGTAGTACTTGGTTTTGGAACTTGGACTCAAATAGTCGACAGGTTTTTGTATTGTGCAAACTCTTCAAAGGAAACAGGGGGAAGTAAAACGATTACAGGTGAAAATTTACCTGCACACAGTCACTACATAGATTTAAGCACATCTCAAGCGGGTTGGCATAAGCATAGATATTGGGATTGGTCAGGAATGACAAAAGGTAAAGGATATGATGTTAAAGACGACGTTAAGTTTGCCATAAATTGTTACTGGAGTGACACTCAGGGAGAAGGAAACCATACACATCGCGTTTCAGGATATACGCAAACAACGGGACAAAGTAAAGACTACATGCCACCTTACATGACAGTTTACGCATGGTACCGCATTTATTGAATGAACTAAATATATTTTATGTCTGTAATTAATTAGGTAATGAAGTAGTGGATGAACTGCAGAAATATGTGTTATCGTTAATGTTTACGTCATGGTTTCAGGTTAGGCAGTTATGACTTATTTTTGAAGAACTAAAGGTGTCACTACGTCACTCAGTGTCACTCGGTTATTTAACTTCTCTGAAAAAATGAGACAACATGACATTTTGACAACATAGTGGGAAATGAGGAAGGCAGTTATGACTTATTTTTGAAGAACTAAAGGTGTCACTACGTCACTCAGTGTCACTCGGTTATTTAACTTCTCTGAAAAAATGAGACAACATGACATTTTGACAACATTTACGAAAATATGATGCAGTCCAAAAATAAAGTGATCAAACATTTCAATCTGTCTATTATAGATCCAAGGTGATGTGATTTTTGCATCCCTGGGATGGACGATACACCCAAAGTGTCACCTTTTGGGATAACATGAATTTTAAATATCATGAGAGTTCTGCAAACCATATGCACAATATCTATTCAGCCTGACTTCTTGTATATATGAGTTAGACTTCTTAAATATTGTGCTTGGGGCGATATAAGCATTTCCGAGATTACCATCGTGCTCTATAGTATGCTACTTCTCCCTGGTTCTAGCTCAGTTCCAAGGATATTGGCGTTCAAGGATTTGGCAAGGTCCTTCCGAAGTCTCTCATTCGATGAGAGATTTCGGAAGAATCTTGCCTTAAAGTACTCCAACTCTTGTTCTTTTGTTCCTAAATAGTGAGAAAAGTTATTTGACTACTTAAGGTAGAGATTATCCGAGGTCCCTCATTTGATGAGAGGCCTCGGATAATCTCTGCCTTAAAATTGTACACTTGTAGTCCATGAGAGTGTAAGTATACATTGATAGGACAGCTTTCTTCTGAAGTCTTAGATTTGATGAGAACCTCAGAAGAAAACTGTCCTATTTTATAGTAAAAGGAGTTTCAGGAGCTCCAAGGCTCCCTTTCGTAAGGATTAGGAGCTTTGGAGCTCCTGGTTCGTAGATGTGTTTCGCATCTTTCATCAGCAAAGGACATTTACCATCTGGGACTCTGTTGATGGAGACTCAGGAGCTCCAAAGCTCCCTTTAGTAAGGATTAGAAGTTTTGAAGCTCCTGGTTCGTAGACGTGTTTCGCATCTTTCATCAGAAGAGGCCCAAATGCTAAATAGCCTCTGCTGATGAGCTTCAGGAGCTCCAAGGCTCCCTCTCGTAACGATTAGGAGCTTTGTAGCTCCTGAAGGTAAGGTAGGATTGCTCTGATCTCTAATCAGTAGATGCCATGCCTCATTATGAACTCTACTGACAAGAGATCAAGAGCTCCAAGGACTCCCTTTTTAGTTAGTGGCGTTCTCACCATTTAGTAGGATTGCTGATCCTACTAATGAAGTGATCACTTAGTATACGTTTTGAATAAATTGAATTTTTTTTAGAATTTAGTATTTTTTTATAGACATCACATGTATATTATAAATACATAAATATATTCTTTAATTCAAAAAATTCAATTCGGTTTTGGGATGGGTATCCCAGCCCCAAGTATTCAATTTTATTCAATTTTTAAAGAATTTTGGGTTGGGATGCCCAGACCAAAACAAGCTTTATATTTTGATGTGTAGATACGTATGTGTGCATCATTGTTGTGTTATATATTATGTTTTTAATGAAAAAAAAATCTGATTCAAAAAAAATTATCACTAATTAGTTGATAATATAAAGAAAAAATAGATAAATTGTATGTTTTGAGAGTATTTATCCACATTCACTCATATGAATTTCATTAAATAGTGTCTTTTTACTCCCAAATTTATTTTGAATTATTGAAATCAAAGAAAAAAAATTAGAAAAATTTCTCGAAATTTTTATTTTCAAAAAAAAAATTTGGATTTTATATTGAAAACTGACACTGGGAGGACGATAGGGCTGGGATTGGAGATACCCCGCTCACTTGGGAAAAATACGGATCTATACTTTTCATGACTTAGCTTAAGGTTGGCTTTGCTAGTTGATATATTATAAGATAAGAACTATCATTAATAACCTAAAAAAATTAATTCTCTATCCAATTCAAGTCTCTTTTCAATTCTATAGTTCTTGTTATAATAAATTACACCTAATATACCAAAAACTATTAATATAAACACAATGATACCAACCAAAATTCCAATTATTTGATTTTTGGTCAAGATATTTTTGGATGATTTAGTTATACAGAATTTTATTGATGGATCTAATGATATCTGTTGGCAATGCGACCCATTGCAATAATCAGATTTCTCTTTTGGAAATTCAGAAAAATTAAAATTGCAATTAATGAAAGAAACATCATGCAAAGTAAAGTTAAAGTATAAAAAGAATTTATACGGCTCATCTGTAGACAAGGTTGGCATATTAGGATTCACAGAACAATCAATAAAATTGCAATTTTTCATATCAATCAAATTATAGGCCAATAACGATCCATCTGATGATAAATTTTGATAATGCATGTAACTAAAGACATTATTATATATGAAAACTCCAATTGCATAATCAATATTAAATGAATTGCTAAAATTGCTATTTGAATGATGTGTATCTGCTTTTGAGTGGAAAATATTCTTATTCATAATGTATTCTTGCTTTAAATAGCAATTTGAAACAGAAGACAAATTAAAAAATTGATAATTTTGGAACATTTTTGCAAATGTTGCATCTTGGCCATAGGAATGAGAAGCACAACATCTTGTAATGGAAATATTAGAATAAGGAAGGTCAATTGAAATGCATCCAGCAGATGCAAACGAAAAACGCTCAATGAACCTTGTATTGTCAATAAAAGTATTAAGATTACTAATAGAATCTTGATAATTGATACTTGTTATTTGAATTGCTGCAAAATTTGAAGGAATTGAATCAATATAAATAAAATCGCAGTTAACAACAGAAATTGTTGAATATAATATAGATTCAACAAAACTAGTATTAAAATTTTGCTTACTTATCGTCAGATTCTCATCAAAACTTTGATGACACATATCTGCTGTATCAAAGTAAACATTGATAGGATATGGAACACTATCAACAACTTCTGACATAATTTGAACATCTTCTGAACATCCTTTATTTGCAAAGCAGCTTATGAAGTTAGATAACTTCGGGCCTAATCCTGTGAGGTCAAGAAACGAGCAACTGGTGCAATTTGATAACTTCAATGAATCTGCATATATGTATTCTAAGTAGCATCGATCTAAATTTGAGATTTCAAATGATGTTGTAAACATGTAGGCAAAATGACAATAAACATGCTTACTGGTAGTGTCTGATAAATAGAAGGACTTTGAAAAGAATGATGTATAATTGCATAAGTAAAATTGTGAATTTAAATTGTTACAAACTTTATCTGAAAAAATATTATCAGTTTTTGATTCATTAAAGAAAGATTCCTCTCTAGAATTTATTTTTGTCGCTCCACATTCATCAGATTGGCATTGTATGAAGCATGTTTTATCAATTATATAATTTTTACAGTAAAACGCGAATATTCCAGCACCTGAAAATATAGTTCCGTAAATTTGCCCATTAGGTATCTTGCATGCTACAAATCTTGAGCCGTAGACATTTAATTTTTCAAATGTTGGAGAGTAAATCGAAATTGCTCCACTGTTTTGAGAATCTGATATAATAGATGCAAATACGCATTTGTTAATTACTAGAGTGTTCATTAAAGGTGTATATCTCTTGCGAATGTTCTTCATATATTCCATTTTTTTCAAATGAAAACTTGATTTGAATAAAGTTCTCAAAACATGGAGAGCAAACTCCTATAAAAATAATGATTATCAATTAAAACATGGCTAAAAACTTTCATAGTTGATAGGATTTGCGATCACAAAGATTTTATCAAAATAATAGTGTACACATAAAGTGTAAAATTCCGTTCAGATTTTTCTTTTCAATTATGAATTGAAATATTTTCAATTTTCTGAAAATTGAAATGATTTGTAAGACGAAAATTTCTCCATCAAAATATCAATTTAGTAAATCATTTGCTGTAAATAAGACGTTTAGCAATATAGATTCGCTTGTTATGAGCTCTAATAAAATACGAAAAAAAATACAATTCAAAATTAAAAGCTCTATAAGATTTATTATCTATTGCTTCTTGAGGGGCTTGAATAGGAGTTCATGGTGATATTCAAACTCATTTTCTGGGTCGGCGATAGCTGGAGATTGCTTGTGAAGCTTATAGTTGTACTTATTGAAAAATTGGCGTCCAACCGTGCAATCCTTGAAGCAAGAAACAATAACAGAGTCATAGCCAAGTTTGAGGCCAATGAATTCTACGGCTTGGAGTAAAAACTTGCCTAAGCCTTGGCGGCGGAGTTCTTCGGTGACATGGATATCATAAATGAAAAGTGATAACTCTCCTGTGTCAAGTTCATATCTGAAATGAACAAAACCAATTGGATGGTCTCTGTAAAATGCGATCAAAAACCTTGAATCTTCGTGGTATAGCTCTGCTTCCTTGACCTCTGCATCCCATCCCCATGCCTTTTCATAGAATTTTTCCATATTCTGGGTGATCATATTGAACATCCATAGTTCATACTCTTCTGGGACCTTATTGAATGATTTTATTTGAGCATTGAATAACTCATGATTGAAATTCTGAAGGAAAGGAATAAGATCCATCAAATTCGCTACAGCACGGCTATCTTCAAGAACACGGCGTTTGGTGTTGAGCATTTGTGTCTTTTGCTTCTCTGCTTCGGCCTTTGCCTTCTTTAATTCTTTCTTTGATGGCTTCGAAGTCATAAAATCTCCAAAAAGACAAAATCTCTATCTACTGAAAAAAAATCAAAAATTTAATATTATTACAATCATCTAAAATTAAATATATTTTCTCGTATAACATAGTGGTTTTTAACAGCAAGATTCCGTAAATCCATCAAATCATTTATATAGATGGGTGACAAGGTCTATCATAATCATTATTATTTCAATATCCTATCCTTTGTGTTTGGATAACCATAATATATCAAATAAGCTTTGAAATAATAGAATTTTATCCAATATTTCAAAATAGGAAAGGAAATTAGTAACATTTCAAAGTTGCATTTGCACAACATGCAAATTCTAGTATATTATGCTACATTTTGCATGCATAGGCCTTATTATCAATTTGCGGTATACAATAACTATGGATTTTAAAGCACGGATGTTTAATACCCATCATTAAAATACTACAAAAAAGATAGTTAAATATAAGAGAATGCATTTCAAGCTGATTGACTCCGTTGTAATTTCGCTGATAGTATTCTATTCAAAACCAAAATTAATATTTGTACAACTGTCGTGCTAGTAATAATTTTGCGATAAATAGTAAAATTTCTGTGAAAAATTCTATCAAATTTTTAATAATGATAAGTGAAACTGAGGGAAATGATGATATAACGGATTTTCAGCTGAACTGTGCGATGCACTACTTCGAGGACATGATAACAAATCTCAAGCATATCAGCGAGACAATAGAATTATCTCTTGAAAAAGTTGATACATCAATTGACAATACAGAGTCTGAAGAGCTCACTCGTGTTTGCATTTCAGTTAAACAATTCATCTTACAGTTGCATAACAAAATTGTAGATCAAATTTTCTGTTTGGACCAAGGAAAAATCCAACTTGAAGGAATCATCGAAGAAAACACAAAACTTAGAGACAATTATCTAAAAGGAGTCGCATCTGTTGATGCCCAGACTATAAGTTCTATAGAATCAAGCGTTGAAGCTTTAGAAAAAGTTTCAAATTTAATTACAAAAATGAACAGCTTAGCAAAGTCAGAAAGCACGCCAGCTAAGGTTACAAAAGAACTAAAGCCATTATTTAAGCAATATACTGAAGCCAAAAATAACCTGAATAATATTAAATCGCAATGCGTCATAAACCAAGAAATTTCGGATCGCCATCATATAAAGTACCAAGAAGAGTTCAAGAAAAAGCAACAAGATATTATTGATAAGTTTTCTTTCGTCATAAGTTGCGCTGCAGAAACTGTTTGCTCAAGTTTTTCAAGTATGAGCTTATTGGAGACACAAACAAAGCTTACCAAGCCAGAATTGAAAGTGAAATTTAGAGATTTCGAAGTTCCAACGTTTACTCCTTATGTATTCAAAAACAAGCACCATACTCTTGATCCAATTGAATCTCCTGTCATGAATTCTGCTATAGTTCCTTACGGAGTTGCGGAAATCAACAAAAGTTTTGAATCATCAAATAGAACGTTTTCGCCAGGCGAAAAAGTCCTTCTAATGGATAATACTGATCGTCCTTACGCTGCAATTGAATTTGAAAACAAAATTTATTGCGTTCCAAGAAATTCCCTTACAATTATAAAATTTGGTCCTCCGTCAAAGCCTGGACCAATCACTGTTGATAATTATTAAATATATGCGCTTATTATGTTTTGATTTTTTAATTTATTTATTAAAATTTTTAAATTAGATGTTTGATGGCTTTTATTCTGTCTTGATTCTATAAATAGTTTCTATATATATGACGCTATTATTAAGATACCCTTAAAATTATTTCAAGTAATTTTCATTGAAAATTTCAAGCTTTACAAATATGATAAATTGTCTAGTATTCCTATGTATAAGATTATGTTTCATGCAAACATCCTCTTTAACTTAAATTTTTTAATTTTTTTTGGTAAAAATATTGGTATTCTTGAATAAAATTTGTCAGTGTTGAATGCAATTGACCAAAAAATGGCTTTATTCAATAGCTATACCAAATGTCTGCAAGAATAATTCAATTGTCAATTTTGACTCATCTAACCAGGTTATTGATAATATCTGAACTCAATAATAGGAAGTAACTTTGAGAATTTGAGAGATTTTTTATTATAGTATATTCAAAAAGTGTGCAAATTAGATATATTATTCATTAGAAAAAAATTATTTAATAAACGAGTCAAGGAATGATCAAAATAAAAGATAATAGTAAAATACAAAAGGAATAAAAAATAAAATTATAAAATAAAAAAATTAGAGGTCGAGAGTAAGAGTAACAACCTTTGGCTTTGTTCCAGAGTCACCGCGGAGGCCAGCGATATATCTAACTTGTCTTGGCATTGATGTTCCTGTCTCAACCATTGTTTGTTGACCTTTATCTCTCTTTAATATTGTTTGGACAACGGAATCTCTTCTGTAATGGCTTTCATCTGTTTGAGAGCTCTTTGTTCTCTTGTTCTGTAGGCCTTTGAGGATCTTCTTTCTCTTGTTTAACTCCCATTGGTTCCAATGATAAGTCATATCGATGTAAGATTCCACTGGATGTACTTCTGTTTGGATTTCGCTATCTCTGAGCTTGGATTTCTTTGGTTTTGGTTGAGATGCTCTAATCGGAATCTTTTGAGCCTGTAAAATCGGGAATTCGTTCTGTAATCCGAGCAAAGGAACAAGTTCTGGCTTTTTCTGCGCAACTTTCATGGCTTCATCGTGCCAATACTGAGGATCTGCCAAGAATTTGTTTCTTTTGACCTGGTCAACGAAGGCATAGTACCTTTTCTCCCATTTGATGCTGCCTAAAACAACATCACCTGGTAAAAGTAAACCATTTCGTTCAACCAAAGTTACAGGACAAAATCCGTTGAATGCAAATTCTCCGTCTGCATCATGTTGAACGAGAACTGGATGGCTGTCATCTCCAGCAACTTCTGATTCCTTAGGGATGACTTCCTTTTCGGTAGGAGGAGTTTGTTGTGGAGTTGGAATTGTTGGGGCAGTTTCATCAACAGTAGAGATGGAATATGTAAATGTATCACGATGCTTACGAAGTCTAGCAAGAAGATTTTCGATTGTTTGGACTTGGTCTTCGCATCCCTTCAATTTATGCCAAACTTCAGCAAGAGCGGCAAAATATGGCATGGATTTTTGTGTTGGGACGGAGTCTGATATTTCCATCTGGTTACGGAGGTTTTCGATGATTGAATCAAATTCAATTGTTGATTTTTCAACTCCAACTGAGATATCTTTCAGTCTTGTAAGGAGAAATTCGTAGAAGAAGTTGAATTGCTGTCTGTTGGCAAGCTCATCTGTAAGGCGTTTAGCGTTTGGAACGTTTTCATCTTTGAGGGCTTTGTTGTATTCAATAATTAATGAATTGACACCTTCGATTGATGTTGTGATACGGTCCTTTGCAGCATTAAGCTTCTTTGGTACTTCAAGACGAAGATTTGTTGCTGGATCAGCAAGATCACCGCCAAATGTCTGGAAAACACGAACACCAAGAACATTGTTGGAAAGATCTTGAAGTTTAGCACGTTTTTCTTCATCAGATAAAGCGAGATACTTTGGAACATCCGACTTTGGGAAAATTTGTTCAAGAGCTGATGTTGCAAGACGAACATCTTGTGGATCGTTTGGTGTACCCCAATGAGATGTAATGATTGTATATGAAACAATTTTTCTGTATAAAGCGTCAATGGCTGTTTGGCTACGAGCGCGTGTAGTAATGAGCTCTTGTTCAATTGCATCACGATGTTCCTTGTCACGTTCTTCCTTTTGTTTGGCATTTCTATCTGCTTGTGCAAGAGCAAGATCCATATCTACTTGCATCCTGATAGTTAACATCGGGATAGACTCTGGATCGCCAAGCATCTTCATTGATTCATCATGAAGAAGTTGTACTTTTGAATCTTCTAATGGCTTTGAAACATCAATCTGAAATTCTTCTAATCTTGATGAAATAACGGATCTAACTGTGTAAGCAATAAGAGCCTGAGAGGCATCAATGTTTTTGGAAAGGCATTCATCAGCAAGTGTCTGTACGACGTGGATGATTGATTCCTCCATGATTTTCTTTTCAAAAAAATATACGTTAGTAAAAAAAATTTACAAACTAAAATCTCTTGTTTCAATATTTCTATATCAATAGGCTTACAATCGAGTAAATATCATTATTTCTCAAAATTATATCAAAGATAAAAACAATATTTGATGAATTTCAAAAAAATTTCATGAATTATGATTCATTCTACCTGACTCTATTTGTGTGGCTGAGGTATTTACTACTTCAAATGAAAAATATATTGAAACTTCAAATCTCTAATGTTTTTCATTAACTAACATACTATCACACTTATGTTTTAAAATCTAAATGTATTGATTCAAGTTTTCTATAAATTTTAATGTTTAAAAGCAATATTTCAAATGATAATAATAGCAAACAATTAATTTGAAAATGATAAGCGATATACTGATTTCATCTGATGTCCTATAAGCTCCTATCAAAATTGCAATATGAATATTGTTATAGAAATGCTACTTCTAGAAAAATTTTCAAATTCTTGATTCTAAAAGAAGAATATGTTCTTTGGACAAAATGCATTCTATTTACTTTTGATATGACAGAGTATACCACCTTGAATTACGGAATTTGAGCCAAAATTTGATTTATCGATAATGAATTTTTCAATAGAATCTATTTAATCCTCCCTAAACAATCTTGGTAAACTTCAGAAGTTCTCTTAAACTTATTAAATCATGTTAATTGTATATCTAACGTTTTGTAAGGATTTTTTTTTTCATTTTTCACTTTTGTTTACAATAAAAATTGATGAAAAAGCCACTAATTCTCTCTATCTCTAAATATACAAAAGGATATACATCAGAGAAGGGTAATATAATTAGTGCGCAGAATCTCCAGAAGACTGTTTTCTCCAAATTCGCTGCACGTCGTAGCGCCGGAAAAACAGATCGTAAATTTATCAGCGATAACTACTTGATAGCTCAATTCATCATTATTTTGATGATGGTTATCTTTCAATTTATTTCCATGGGTCTAAATATTTTCATTGAAGGAGAAATTTATAATCATTTTTCCAAAAAGATCCTTGGAGACTACGCTGTTGCTTCAAATTTAAATTTTCAAGAACGTCTACAAAATATTGTTGAAGAAGGTATCAACTACGCCTCTGCTTTATCAACTTTATTCCAACCTTTTGATTTCCTTAACTTCAACAAATCTAAAGCCCCTAATATAATTAACGTATTTTACGAAGCATCCAAAACATACTCCAATTCTGTCTTATGGTATCAACTTGAAGTTCTTCCTGCAGAAGCTTTGATCGTCTACAGGCCTCCAATACCAAATCAGATCCATTCAACACTATACAGTGACAAGGACACAGATTACTGGCTCTTTGCTTGGAGGGCTGATGATAATGCCTACAATCCAAATTATCCTGAGAAAGATGGTATTAATTTGACATTACGGATGCGGCCAAAAGATATGCCTGAGGTCAAGGAGTCTACTAAGAACCCTAATTTGGTTACTTTTGGTACACCAAATTTTGGATATAAATCTTATACGAAACAGTCATTCATAGAGATTTCCAAAGCTATCCTTTGTGATGGTGAGGTAATAGCTGTTGTAAATGTAGCACTAGACCTTGAAACGATCCAACATTTGACAAAAGATTTATCTTTCTCTGAAAATTCAAGAGTCGCCGTTTCATCGCATTCCGGTATTTTAATCGGTCTGACCGGCAGCGATGAGCTCGTTGACTCATTCCAAGGTTCTTTGATCACAAAAACACTTTTCCAGCTCAGAGACCCTGTTTGGAGCGTTATTGTTAACGACACTCAATTCCAGTCTGGCGAAAACTACTCAAAAACATACGTAATCAATAATCAGCCAAGAGATTATATTGTAACAATTTCTCCAACACCGATTGAAGGAACAAACACTGAATTAACGATTTACAGTTTAGTATGTTACAGCGATATCGCTCCCATTACAAAAGGATCTCAGCAACTTGATATTATTTTATATATTGCTGTTTCTTTAGGATTTGGCACATTTGTGTTCACATCCTATAATGTACTTGTCGATCTTGTTTCCATGCAAAGCAATTCACCCTTCTCCAGCGATTACAATGACTCGACATCTCATATCAAGAAATTTACACTTGAAACAGCCATCGATGACCTTTGCGCCCTGCGCCAACGCGAAGATGATCCCAATATCGTCAGCGAAATCAACTCAATCATCGACCAACTTGAACATACCGGAGAGAAATCTCTAATTAGAGTTTCGGACTTCGACCAAATCCTCAACGATCCGAAGCTGAATGAGCTCTTCACCAAAGTTTTCCAAAGACCAAACGTAAACGCCAAAATCGAAATTATTGATTTGCCATATCCGCAGTTCCTTTCGAAATTGGTGAACAAATCGGATACAGATGTGATCAGCTACACGTTAAGATACTGTGGAGAGTGTTTTTCTGAAGAAGGAATGACGAAATACATAAATCACATTTTATCCGTTTTGGATGAGTCGGAATTACCATATGTCGCTCACTCATTCAAGCTAATCCTTGCGATAAATGACATGAAGGTGTTCTTTTCCAAGGAATTGCTCTTCGGAATGCTGATATCGAATTTAATTTTCCACATTTTGATAAAGAACAGAAAACAGAAGCAGAATACAATTGACAGATTATTCTTCAAGTCATTGCCATACACGCTGACTACTCTTTACTGCGAACTCAAGGAATTACATTCGATATTACTCGAAAACAACGAAGAGACATGGTCGACCATCGCGTTCACGTGTTTCACCTTCACAAATATCATACCGTTGAGTAGACACTTACAGGTCTGCAGCAGAACTGTACTTTTCAGAGGAATTCTCCAAGATCAGAAAATGACATCGGGAAACATATCCTTTGACGTACTCAACGTGATATTTTTATGCTCTATGTGCCCGTTCTTGTTCAGAAGAAAGAACATTTCCCATGAAATTATTGATAATTTGGTCGGAAACGATTCTTTGACAAAGAAGTGCTTGATTAATGAGTACTACCCTGCAGTCAAGAGCGCGCTAATTGATATTTGCGGATCTTCTTTCGTTAAGAAGCTCGCTGACTTTATATAACTTTTTATGTTTTATTATTTATTTTTTATTGTTTTATTTTTCATTAATTAAATTGTATATATCCATTTGATTATTTACATGTGTTTTCTTTTTATATTTCAATTTTAATTTTAATTAAATTTATTTCATATATCCCTAGGAATAATAAAATGTATACGTATTATAAATAGATTTGGCAGATTTGAAAATCTTCAAAAACCATTATTCAGCCTGAAAATTGAATTTTTATATCTAATTTGACATTTTCAACAAATTAATAAAATTAAAAACTATAGTTTTGCTATGGCATATCATTGTTAAAAATGGCTCGAAGTTTTTTTCTCATCAAAGAAAAAGTACTCATGTAAGGGCACCTCAGGTAGGCTCTTGAAATATCCAAAATATGATACTCAATCTCAAGATCAAAACTACTAATCAATGTTTATTCTTGGATTTGAATCATTCAAATATAAGAAAGACTAATGTTTCAAGCCAATAGAAGTATATGCTATTTGAGAAAACTGATTGAATGTTGTTCTTTTTAATGAAGAGCTTCAAATTCATAGCTTCTCAATCATTCATATTTGCACTATCTCCATTTACATGATATTTCGTCCTCAATATCTAGAAAGGAGAGATTTTATTCGTGAGATAGTTACAATGCTTTTAGCAGCTTTCAATTCATATTGTGAATCATAAAAATCATGCATGCGTAATGATATAGTATCATGCAATACTAACTTAGAAAGATGGACTAATAAAACTTTTTCATGACCTTGTTTTTTATTCAACATTCACCCTGTGTTTTTTTGGTATTCTAATTTTCTAAATTTCCATATGTTTGATAGGTGTGGAAGTAAGACATCAATTTCAAAAACTATTTTTAAAGGCTAAGTATCATTTTTATGAATGATCACTTTGCTAATTCAATACTTAGGACAGTGATCGCTCAAACAGCTCATAACGAGGGCTTTTCCAATATGTCTGAAGCTTCTATATTAATATTAAATGATGTAATAGTTGATTTTATTAGAGAAATTTGCAAATTTTCATCAAAAATGTCAATATTATCAGGGAGAACTGAAGTTAATGCATATGATTTGTTTTTTGCATTAGAGCGCGTTGCAAATGAAAATACTAATTCGTTAAATACTTTTATAATTCAACACGAAAATTCAATATCATCAACATTATATGCTCCAAACTTTCCACAACCAAAATTATCAGAATATTACAAACAACAAATTGAAGATAATCCAGGTGAAATACATTTTGCTCGTAGATTTCCAATAATTCAATCTCAATCTCCTGAATTTCCATTCATACCAAGCTTTTATCCAAAAATACCTTCACTTAAAACAACACCAGATGCAGAATCTGTATTACAGACAGAAAAAACAAAAGATTACGAAAAAGATAAAAGGAAATCACGAGAGCAAAAAATATTACAGTCAGAGCTAGATGGTATGGATAAAGACAGCCAATTAATTGCTCCACAATTTGTCAATTTCAATTTTGCAAAATTACTTGGCTCAGACACTTCAACTAACCCAGAGCAAAACAGAATATCATCTGATATATTGAATGGCATTAAGCCAATTATTGAACCAGAAAAAGAATTTTTATTCGAACCTTACAAGCCAAAAGAAGATTTAGACAGTTAATATAGCCTATATTCGTTTATGCTATAGTTCAATATATTCAAATTTTACTTTTCATTTAGAGATTTCAAAAATTTGTTTTGATAATTTCTAATTTTCATAGATCAATGAAATAACCTTACCTTGAAAGTATATCCAAAATGATTCCGAACCATAATTTTAAGGTTTTGAAGTGACATTTCTAATTTTTTTAATTTGAAGTGTGAAAATAAGTTTTTCACCAATTAGCAGATTTATTTCCAAGTAAAAGTTTATTTTATCATTCTCTTATTTTAGCGGAAAAAAATTATTTGATTTTCTTTCATTGTTGAGTGGCTTAATAATTACAAAGAAGCATATAAAGCATATTTTATAATAAATCTAATATAGTATCGCAGTTTCAACAAACAAAAATAATGATGACAAAATATTAGTAAATAAAATCAGTCCAAGTATCATTAATAATAGTAAAACAGTAATTAATGAGTTGAGGGAAAGGCACCGGTACACTCAAGCCTTCATGATTTTTAAATAGAGATGTTTGGAAGCAAATTGTCAAATTTGGCATTGTCATTTTATTCTTTGCACTATTGTTAAGCGTTAGCATAAGTAGTTCGACGATTAAGGGTGCACCCGTATGTACGTTTATTTGAGAGGAGGAGGATTACCCTCTCAATTTTGAGGGATTCGTTAGTTTATTTTCTCGATGAATATGCAATAAAATTTGATTTTTACCTTATCAATATACTTCATATAATATACACATGTTCATGTAAAAACTTTTTTCCAAAATCCTCAGGAATTAAGGGATTTTTGAATTTTGAGAATTTTTTTCGAATTTTTTCGAAAAAAAATATTTTCAGAACAGCCTTAACGGCTAAGATTTAGGAACAATGTTAAGTATCAAAAAGAAAGGAGGTCTGATATAGACAACATATATCGTTGAAAGTTGAAAAAATCTCTAATATTTGAGCCCAAAATTTCAAATTTTAATTTTTTGAAAAAAGAGGCCACCCGTATGTACGTTTATTTGAGAGGAGGAGGATTATATTTTTGAAAGGGTGAAACATTATGAATATGTTAATTATATAATAATATGTATTATTATAAAAAAGAAAAAATAAAGCACGTTAAAATTTTTCTTTCTTGATTTTTTATAAAATCTACTTAGAATTATGCAAAATATGACTAAATAATTATAAATTTCAAGTTAAATTTTAATTTTGATAAATAATTTAAATTTCAAAATATCAAGTTCAGTTCGACTATGTATGTAGTAATTCCTCAATAAAGTGCCAAAACCCTATTAAAATATATGAACATTTTCAACATTTTAATGTTTTTATTTAAAAATTTGTTGGAATATGAGCTTCAAACAATTATTATGTAAATAAAAATAATTAAATATATGTATTTATTAGTATTACAACCGTAGTAAGTCGATTCTTCCTTTCTTCTACTGAGGTTTGAATTTGATTTCGAATTGTAAAGAGATTCAAAGGGAAAATACTAGCGGATAAAAACTACCTCCATGAAAGGGTCATAATGGAGTCAAGTTGTATTTTTTGATATTTTTTGCTTTTCGAGCCTAAATAGGTAGCCAAGATAATGCCTAAAAATAAGGTTCTAAATTCTGAAGTTTACATGATCCTCTCGTGTGCACCCTTAAGAGAAAGGCTTTTCGATTTACTTCTGGGAGCTTTGATAAAACGCGGTCAAAAGTACTTGGATTGTTAGTATCATAATATGAATTTAACAGATCGGGTGGAAGCAAGGGCTTATGCAATTCAATAAGCCATTTTTTGAGCAAACTTATAGCATCGAAAACATCAGCGCAAGGAGGGACTGAACATTGTGGAAAACGAAGAAGTGTCGACATTTCAAGAACATTTTGTCTATTTCCGTTAATTCTGAATATTCCCTCTCTTTCTATATTACTTGCAATATATTCAAACAACACTTCTAGGAATCTAGGTGCTCCACTCTCTCCACGAATTAATTTCTCAATGGGAGAGCCAAAAATCTCAGAAAATTCATCTAAGCTCGTTCAAAAATTTGACAATATAATCGAGAGGTTCTCAAATATTGAATAAAAAAATTGAAATTCAAATCAAAGTCCCGCACAAAATGTCCTCGATCAGATATTGAACAACGTCTGAAATGTAATTCTAATGATTCGGCGAGTGTTCACATGAGTTTCAGCATCTCGGAAGATTCAGAATAAAACAATCGTTCATTTTATGGCCGATAGATTTAATACAACTGAAATATCTTTAATTGTAATAAATATACTATTTGCATCATTTTGTTTTTCATTTAACTTTTCATAGGCATGGCAGAAAAGTATAAAAAAGTCTTGCATACATATTATTTATTTATATCTTAGACAATCGATGGTTGTCTTACTACAGGATTAATATTGGTCCGTAAATTATCACAATTTTTATCTTGATTGTTGCAAATAAGGAAAAGTTATTATGCTATTAAACTGGATATTAGCCGTACCGAATTCTAGTTTGTAGGGACTTTGGAAATACTCTTTCCCGAATATTACTACCACAATTGTTTTCAACCAATTAACAATTGGCTTATCTCAAGGTTCCACAATTGATACGGATTCATGGCATTCTAATAACTTGACAATACATAGTTTTATTCTTGATTCCTCCTCTATTTGTAATTTGCTCATCTTTCTTTTCTCTTTTTCTAAATGAAAATTTGATTAATCTCTTTAAAATCTTCTAAATTTTGCTAGATCAAGGTAATCCAATTAGAATTTTGTTAATTGCTTGATTTCAATTATGATTCATTATTTTATATCTCACAAGTTCTACCAATTATCTAGAAAAAGTTGGGATTGCATTGTGAAAGATGTTTCAAGATAGATTTATATTTTTTAAAATCAAATTAATTCATATTAACTCACAAAACCTAAAACACATGGAATTTTAAATGCATATAAGCTACTGATGCATATACAATTATTAAATTCGATTTTTGATTATTGAGGGGAAAACGATAAACGCGTTTGGCCGTCCTTTTCAACAGATGGTTCACCACCCAAAGACAAAGAAATTCTTCTGCAAGTTCTGCAAGAAGCACACAATGTGCAAGGTTTCTCAGGCCTCCCGTGGTGAAGAGCGCCATTCCGCCCTTGGTCGTCGCCGTTACGATCGTAAGCAAAAGGGTTTCGGTGGTCGTGTTAAACCAATTCTTCGTCGTTCAAAGAAGACATCCAAGAAGATTTCTCTTCGTTTCACCTGCCAGTCTTGCAAGAAGGCCACAATGTATTGCCTTGGCCGTCTTCGTAAGTTCGAATGGACAGTTGAGAAGAAGAAGAAACACGCCGAGCCAACTTGGTAAAATATGTTCTTACCAGTAATTTATTAATCCAAATCTTTTTTTTTATAATACAATTTTTTTTTTCATCCATGATTCTATCACAAATTTAACTAATACTAATTTAGCTAATACAAGCTCAATGAAATTTATTCAATAATTTGAGATATTTTTAGTAGTATATGTGGACGGGGGGTGTGACTTTTTTTGTTACGTCTATATATAGATGAAGGTATATTTTCACATCTTCTATATATAGATGATATAAAAATTTTTTCTTACGTTTTTTTAAGTCATGAATTCGTAAGAAAGCGCGACATTATTAAATAAATTAGTAATAAATATTATATACTAAACACATTTTAAAAAATTAACATTAATTTTAAAATAATTTATTTTTTTATCTTTTATAAAAGAAGCTATATATAGATGATGTCAGATATTCCGCGATTAATTAAACATTGTTTAAATCCTGAATGGGTTAAACTTCAATTTAAAAATGAAGATTGTGAATTATTAAATGAATATGAAAGCCAAAATAAGCTAATGAGGTATAAATATAATGATAAAGAATATTTAATTTCATGGAATCAATGGAGTCATAATCAAAGACCTCATAAACGAGAAGAAGAAATTGAAAATAATGAAATGGAAATCATTGATGACATTAAAGAGGATGGAATTCCTAAATTTTGTAGAAAAACCTTTAGAACTAAGTTAGGAGCATATAAACGTAGAGTATTAAATCCTGAATACATAAAACATTTATTTAAAAAGGAAGACTGTGAATTATTAAACGCTAATGAATATGAAAATGCTAAATCAAAACTGAGATATAAATATATTGGAAGTGATGAAAGGTGTAAAGATAAAGATAAAGTTTATTCAGTTTCATATAATAACTGGCACACGTTAGGGATAAGAAAACATTTAGGAGATTATGGTAAAAGTTCCGAATTCTTCAAATCTAGTATGTACGAGAGAATAAAAGAAATTAGAAATAATTATTTTCATGAATGAAAGATTCACTACCATAATGAAATAAAAAAATAAAAAAAATAAACTTTAAAAATTCATGTCTTACATTTTTGAATAATTTATTTTTTTAATTCGTAAGAAAATGAGTGGATCAAGATTCGTAACCGTCAATCAATTAATGGATGCTCTTTCACCAATTCTTGAAAATGTTAAACAAGTAGATGTTTATTTCGATGATTATGTAGAAAGTTTATATTATAAAGGTAAACATAATATTAAACCCATTGCTTTTGCATTTGATAATAAATTAATTGAAAATGCAAAAATTTGGGAATTAATTCCAGATATTGAATATATAACGAATATAACTAATAAATGGTTCAAACGAATTCCAACCACAAAAGTTCTTTGTAAATTAATGATCAAAACGAGGCAAAGAATTTCATGAATTTACATATCATCCAAATAAAGTTTCAGAACTAGAAAATGAAAAACTTCAGAAAAAATTAAACGATAGACTTTCAAATGATCGTATTGAAAAAATAAATAAACTAGCAGAAGTTGCATTTAATAATGAAATATTTGATGAATATAACCTTGAACTCAGTGATGGGCTTTAAGGACCCGGGCTCAACGAGTCATGATTTATGAAATCAATAATTTGATTTATTCGCTCTTCAATAATTTCTATTCTTTTTGTTAAATCATCTATTTTCATTAATGAGGTGATTCTTGATTGAGGAATAGATTTCAAACTAACCACTCCTTTTATTTTTGAAATTTTGAATCCATCAACTTTAAACATTTTATTCAATTTACATGTTGTCAATTCTTCAAATAATTTTTTATTGTTAGCATAATAGTCATTAAATTCTTCAACAGATGAAAAATTTTTTATTTCAGTAATTGGTTTAACAACGTTTATTTTTTGTTGAACATTTTCACTTTCATTAATATCTTCCTCCTCTGTTTCATTTATTTTTAAAATCGGTTTCATTTATCATTAAATAAAAATTAGAATATAAGTGATGAAATATATTTTTTAATTAATATTAAATCAGAAATGGCGGCAGGATTCTTTAAAAAATTATGGGATGGAATTAAGAAAGCTGCGGTTGGGTTCATAAAAATTATTAAACCTGTTGCAAACTTTTTGGCACCAGTAGCGAAAACGGCAGGAACTATCATAGGTGGAGTATTAGGTACTAAAGCAGGTAATCCGGCGATGGGAGCACAAGCAGGTAACGCAATTGGTGGAATTGCTGAAGGAATACTTAATAAAATAGGAGGTAATAGTGGAAAAATAAATAAATATTATTTTTATCTTAGTATCGGTTGAGTCTTTGATAAACTTTTTCTCCTTTATTTAATATTTCTCTTATTGGGGCAGCTTTTGGTGTTATTGATTCAGCAACGTCACTAATTGCTTCTTTATTCTTAAATATCCAATTTGCTCCTTTCTTCATTGTTTCCCAAACTTTATGCGCTCCTCTTTTTACTTTATCCCATAGTTTTTAAAGAATCCTGCAGCCATAGTTGATTATTTCATTAAAATTAAAAATTCATTTTCATCTTTTAATTTTGATTTTTTATTTATAATAAATGACGACTAACTATTTGGTGCCAAACACTAAACCGATTAATGGAAATGTGTTTCATTCATTCGAAAAGATAAATGAAATATTCGCAAAGAATGACGGTAGAAGATATTATAGAGAACTTGAAAGTTCATGCTATGACTCTGATGCTCCATATTTTGATGATAAACAAACTCATTTAAGAATTACAAATCCGGCTCATGATGTGAACCAATTAGGTGACACATATATTAAACGCAAAGTTAAAGCAACTCTAGTTTCAAATAAAGCTTTCACATGTGATGCCGCTTTTAAATGCATGCGTTTATTCGTTGGTTACAAATCATCAAATCAAAGCTTTAAACAATTAGAAGTAGAAACCGAAAGAGGTGATGCCGGTTATCTTCAGATGGATTGCGCCCGTGAATCTTTCGCATTTGCAACATATAAACCAAAATCAGAAAGGAAAGTTAAAAAGTTTGTTCATTCGTTATATAATAATGTTCAAAAATATGATAACTCAGTATGTGGTAAATATATTGACCCTTCAGAAGTTTTCAAGAAAGCAAATGAAGAAGTTGATGTCACTTTTGATATGATTATTCCGGTAAATGATTTGTTAGCATTTCAGGCGTTCGATGATTATCCTAAATCATTTGGTGAAATCATTCTTAAATATTATGTTTTCAGGGATACTTTAGTATTTTGTCAGGTTGACCCGTTAAGAGTTGCTGATTTACAAAATTACGTTTATGAAAAGATAACTGATGAAAATTATGAAAAGATTATGAATCATGTTTATAAATATGATCGCAAATTCCAACAAATCGGACTTCCTGCCAAATTAATTACAAGCTTAGCCGCTACATCTGCTGACGCAACAGTTGATGACGTTATTATTTCATGCACAAAGATGGAAGTTTTAGAGGATAAATGCATTACACCAGGATACGGTTTAATTGAAGAATCAGTTAAAGCAATACCACGTTTATTCAGTAAGGAAGATCCATTCATGATTCCAGCTCAACATATTGACGTTCGTTCACTAAATGGAGGTTGCATCACTCCTGAAGGTATTAGCTCAGATTTCTCATACGCTCTTCATAATGTTACAGATGTTGTGTTAACATTTCCGAAGAATGCAATGCAAAGAACAGTTTTAGAAAATCCAATGCTTCGAGGTCTTCAGGTCACTATAGATTCCAGAAACTTCCCCGATCAAGCGATGACCACAGTGGGTGACATATTCTTTACACGTATGCTTCAAGCTTTCTGATTTAGATGGAGTGAATGAATGCACAGAAGAATACGAGGACTCATTAACTAGACCACTGAATGCAGATGATGGCACACCATTAGCTAGAACATGGAAAGACCAAACTTCATTCTTATGCACTATTCCAGTTCAACGTGATGGAGCGGGTATATTCTTTGATGGATTAGAAACTTTCAACTCACAAGTTACAGTACAAGTGAAAGCTTATCCAATCATTCAGGGTGTAAATGACACTTATGTTCAAAGGTGACAAATCCTCCTCAGGTTTGGTTTACTAGGACTACATATTGGACATGGACACCGGATGAAGGTTTGAAATATCATCCAACAGGTACACCACCACAGTATAGAAGTTCATATGATGAAATATTGATGAATAGAAATGTTTAAAATTATAAATTTATTTTTGATTAAATGGATTTAAAATTCATCCACACCTATATGAAGAATTAGCGGAGTATATAATACATACGTAGATGATATGATTAATGAAGCATTGAGTGATAATAGAAATGCTCTATCTAAGGAAAAATTAATGAAAATTCCATATTCTGAATGTTACTTAAATTCAATCACTGCAGCAATTGTAACAAATAAAGGTAAACATTAACGATATTAAAACAAATTATCATTATTGCTAACACTTCCCCCCATTCACATGTTGTTAATTTATATCAACCGTTCAGGTTCACCTTCAGATGATACATTTGAATCTTTAAAGCATTTAATCAAAATTCCAATTATTTATTTATCACAAGAAGAAGCAGAAGATTATTTAAAAAACTTTTTAATGTATAAAGAATATATAATACAATCAAGAAGCAAGGATAGAGGATATAAATTATTGATAAACAACGGGATGAATTATTTGAGAACACTTTCTATTTCAAATTTTGATAAGAATTTTTGCATTCACTCATTTTCTAGATGATGCCGTGAAATCAAAACTAATAACTAAATGAGAAATCATATTTTAATCAGTTATTAACTCAATGTCGACACATTCAGTGTTCATTCTTCATGGCTGTTCAATACTTTAAAGCATTAAGCACAAACATTAAATCAAATCTATCAACACTTTTCATTTTCAGTGGTTTTAGTCGTCAACAGTTGAACGTTATGCTTTATCAAGTGAATTTACCAATGAGCATTAATGAACTTTACACACAATATCAGCAATTAGGTGAACATGGAAAAATAATAGTTGATTTAAATAAAGGTTCCATTAAATTTGATTAACTTTTTATAATTATTTTTTATTTTTTATTTATAATTAAACATGACTGAAATAGCAAATCTTCTACAGGTTCCATTAAAACGAGGAACAAACAAAAAGGGTGCATATAATAGAACTATGAAAGTTCCAGACGGAATGAAAGAATTAGTCCACATTGTTGCCGGTCTTCAAAAAGATGTTAAACAAATGAGAAATGTTTTAACATTACCAGAAGCTCAAGCATATGCCAAACGTCATGGACCAAATTGGGAAGCACACGAAGCAGACATTACGGGTCCAAATGGAAAACCTGATGGTATAAATGAAGTTTTCGTTACTGATGGTCGAGGTAATATTAAAGTCATAAATGGTTATAAATTAACTGTATCTGATTATCCTAAACGTAAAGCATATAATGAATGTTATCCTATGCAATTTGATGAAAATGGAAAAGCTGTTAAACAATACATTGGAGAAAGTGAACATGGTCCAATTAATTCATACCGTCATAATCCATATTCTTATTTCAATGAAGAATTAAATGCTATTGAAGAGGGACCGAATGAATTACCTCAATATGTTAATCAGTTTGATGGTCAATATGCAAATTTGAGACCTGAAATTCCAGCTAAGAAATTCTTTAAAGTTGCTTTATTCGATCCAGTGTTCAATGAACAGAAAGAAGCAATGAAAGCAGAATTTAAACCAATTCAAGTGGCAAGAATTTCTTCATCTTCACTTTCAGAAGCGTTCAAGGAATTGATAAAGAAACCACTTTATTCTCAACAAGGTTATAACTTTGATTTAATTAAAGAAAGTGATAGACGTAAATTAGAAAAATCAGATGGTTTTAAGAATGCATGTAATGAAATGATTAAAGATATTGTAAATGATAAAATAAGACTGGAAGAAACTCAAAGCAATATCAATAACATTATTGGTGCAGTTACAAAGAAAGTATAAGCAAACAATGATGAACCTTGGGATATTACCGTAACAACTAAATAAAACTTTAAATATATTTTTCTTTTTTTATTCGATTATAAATGAGAAGACGTTTCACAAGTCAAAAGAACACTAACGCAAAAGCAGAGATTACGGTTGGTTATAACGTAAATGATGATAAATCACGAATTATTCAAAATGTTAAAGTTAATGTTAGCCCTGAATTAACTCGTGACTTACCAAAGAAAGAGGAGGAGCAAAATAAAGAAGATGAAGACTCAATCATTTTATCTGAACCTGGTAAAGAACCTGTTGAAATTCCCACTTATCCAACATACCCCCCACCTCTTTCATCAAACATCGAGAACCCATATAAAATAGACATTAATTCAGAATTAATGAAAATTTACCGTGATATAATAATTAATAATTATGATTCAATAATAAATTTAATTGACCAATCCGGTTTAATTATTTTACCTTATGAATCATTAATTCACATTATCGCCATTCTTTGTGATGTTCAAGATTCAGACGTTAAGATTCAATTTTTCATAGATGATGAGGTTTCATGCTGCGGAACAGTTGCAAAAATAAATCCTATAAAGGATATTAGCACAATTAAGATATCAAAGAACGGAACAACAACTGAACTTCATTTAACATATAATGATATTTATAATAAAATAGTTGATGAATATAAAATATCACTTGAAAAATTCTTTGTTAAGGCCATTTAATATTCAAGCATTAACATTATTGAATAATAATCCTTTGAATCATAATCAATAATAATTGACCTTTCACCAGTTTCTATCGTTTGTTTTATTTCTTTTTGTTCCCCACTATCCGGATCGGTCATTGTAATTGTTTTTGTTATAGTATCAGCTTTATCTTTAACTTCAATCTTTTTTCCATCGGGATATTTAAACCAAAATTCCAAAAATTCGATATTGTCAATCTGTTCATATTTTAATCTATCAATTGCATTTTTAATACCATCTGAAAATCTTATGAAATGGTCATTATATGGGTTTGATTGAACTAAATTTGAATGAAGTGAAATATAACCCGATGATGAATATGACATTGACTCATATTTTCTGAAAACACTAAAATTTATAACATGAATGAATTTCTTATTCGTTGAATTTATGAATTCTTGAGGTAATCTTATTCTAGTTTTATTTATCACTGGAAAATAACGCTTTACCATATTTTTAATCGTAATAAAAATGTCAATTATCAATATTATTTCGAATAATAACTGTGAATTAAATTTAACAGTTAGCGGAATTTATAATGTTACTCTCGTTTCTGTGAGTGGTAAATTTAATCCCATTCTTTTAGACCCTTCAGATTATATATCATTTATTAAAGATGACCATGAAAAAACGTATGATATGTATATAAATAATGTGATAACGAAATGGGATATTAACACAATTTTAAGTTATTTAAATGAATCATTTATCGTATGGTATGAAGAAAATTTTAAATCAAAACCTGATAAACTTTTTGAACTTGATGAAATAAATAACCTTATTAAATTTCCACTGAAAATTAAATTTTGTACTCCTCATCTTCGTTCATTGTTGGGGATATTAAATTTTGAAAAAGATGTTGGGGATGTTTTGTATTCTGACACTGGTTCCAATTTCATTTTAATCAAATGTGATAAAGTTAATACCCCAATGAGATTTTCACATCAAACATTAGACCCTAACTCTTACCCATCAATACAAAACATTTTATCCATCAACTTAAACATATTTTCTTTATCATATCCGTTTCAATTATCCGGGAATTCATTTATTCTTCATTCAAAAGATTTATCAAATATTAAATTTAGAATAACTGACCTATTTGATTGTGATTTAGAATTCATGAATGAAATATTATGGCAATTTCAAATAGAAAAAATAGGTGATGAGATAACAGATTAAATATTTATTTTTAAATCATAATAAATGATTAAACAACAGCAACCACAGCAACTTAAGACACAGACCATTACATACGCCACATATGCATATAATTCAAAGACGGCAGAACAAACGCAAAGGTTGAAATATGGAGATTTGGAGATAGTATTGAAAAATGACCATTTCGAATTCGTTTGCAAAGGTGGTGCAGTGATATCAAATATAAAAGAAATTTTATTTATGAATTCAAAAATTAAAGGTATAACGGATGATATAACATCAATTCCACCAGAAGAACAAAGATATTACGCATTAAATGCATTTCCTAAAGTTTTGAAGATTGGAAGATTTAATTTAAATGAGGAATTCATAAAAGGTTTCCTAAATGACATAATGAAGAAAGCAGATAAGGAATATGTGGCTAGTGAGTTAATGAAGAAGGCAAATTTGGTTTATGTTGATGAAAAAGATAATGAAATTAAAGAAAGGGTTGAATGGTATCATGAATGGACATTGGAGACTTTTAAAGTTAAAGCTGATACAGGATGGGTTTCAGGATGTTTAGACCTTAAAGCAGATAAAACTTATGTTAACAATGAGTTAGAGAAGAAAGCAGATAAGGAAAAAGTTATTTCATTCATTAATACTGAGTTAGCAAAGAAAGCTGATATATCATTTGTTAATGAAGAAATAAAACAATCAGAGGTCTATTTTACTCCACCATTTTTAAATTTTATGAAATCATCAGATAAAACCTTTGATATAGATTCTTTTGAATGGATATGTTTCGATGGAGTGACCATGTATTTATTTTATACAGGTGGAGTGCTTTATTATTTTAAAACAAATGATTTTAAAAACTATGAATCATTTACTCCATCTGTTTGGAATCCTGATACACGAAAGCCAATCATTAATCCAAGAATTTTATATGTTGAATATAATAACGGTAAATTTATGGGAATGATAACAGTTGGAGATGATTTTTGCCCTTGTTATTCATTCGATTGTATCCAATGGTTCAAATGTAATTTAAATCAAGATGCTAAATTTAAATATCCAAATAATCCTATTAGATGTGTTAATAATAAATGGGTACTAATTTATGAAGTCAATCAAATTTTCATTAGTGAGGATGGGATAAATTATTATATGTTTAGTATGATGTCATCAGATTTGAAAATTGATTATACAAGTAAGTGGTATTACATTAACAGCATGTATTTTATCCTACAAAATGATAAAATTTATAGATCATCTTCAATACCACAAGGTCAATTTGAACAAATTTTTCAAGCTGATGGAGACATTGAAGCTTTATGTTATGGATCAAATGTTTATGTTCTCGTTTCAGGTGGTATGGTCTATTCATATCCTGTAAGTTATAACAGACATATTTATTTATCACAGGATTTATCAAATTGGGAATTGGTTTATTCATTCACTCCAAAACTTACTCGAAATTATAAATTTACAAATTTATTTTATATTGATGGGTATTTCATTGCTTTAGGATGTGGTGATTTAGTAAATATCAGTAGTGATGGAAGAAACTGGTCTGAAATCACAAAATTTCAAGATGTTAGAAAAGCAATTTTCAAAAATAATACGTTAATATTGATAACAAGACCAGTTTTAAATACTCACCCAGTTTCAATATTATATAATAAATTCAATATTCATAATGGATTAAATACAATTCTTGAGATGATTTACCCCATTGGTTCTATTTATACGTCAATGAATTCAACAAATCCCGCAAATGTTTTAGGCTTTGGTACGTGGAAGCAGATTGTAGACAAATTCTTATACTGTGCTAACTCTTCAAAGCAAACAGGTGGTTCGAAGAAAATTAAAGAAGCAAACCTTCCACCGCACACTCATACAGGAACTACAAACTTTTCTGGCGACCATAGCCACTCATTAAGAGACCACCCATTATACAACTCAGAATATTATGCTGGCAATGACGTTTTATCTCCAGATTATAACCATTCGGCAAAAAAGACTTTTCGACCAACTGAACCAGGAGGAAATCATGTCCATACTTTCACAACAAATCCAACAGGCTTGGGTAAAGATTACATGCCACCATTTATGACTGTATTCGCATGGTATAGAGTTCAATGAACGCTCGTCGACATAAGATTTTATAAATTGCACATTTGACGTAAATTCATTTCCCCAGTTATTCAATAATTAATTATTTTTGAATAACTGATGAGGTCACCGGGTCACCAGGTCACCAGGTAATTTAACTTCTCTGAAAAAATGAGACAACATGACATTTTGACAACATCACAGGAGGAAGGCGGTTATGACTTATTTTTGAAGAACTGAAGGTGTCACTACGTCACCATGTGTCACTCGGTTAATTAACTTCTCTGAAAAATTGTGACAACATGACATTTTGACAACATAGTGGGATTAATGAGGAAGGTATTTATTAATTATTTTTGAATAACTGATGAGGTCACCAGGTCACCAGGTCACCAGGTAATTTAACTTCTCTGAAAAAATGAGACAACATGACATTTTGACAACATCACAGGAGGAAGGCGGTTATGACTTATTTTTGAAGAACTGAAGGTGTCACTACGTCACCATGTGTCACTCGGTTAATTAACTTCTCTGAAAAATTGTGACAACATGACATTTTGACAACATAGTGGGATTAATGAGGAAGGTATTTATTAATTATTTTTGAATAACTGATGAGGTCACCGGGTCACCAGGTCACCAGGTAATTTAACTTCTCTGAAAAAATGAGACAACATGACATTTTGACAACATCACAGGAGGAAGGCGGTTATGACTTATTTTTGAAGAACTGAAGGTGTCACTACGTCACCATGTGTCACTCGGTTAATTAACTTCTCTGAAAAATTGTGACAACATGACATTTTGACAACATAGTGGGATTAATGAGGAAGGTATTTATTAATTATTTTTGAATAACTGATGAGGTCACCAGGTCACCAGGTCACCAGGTAATTTAACTTCTCTGAAAAAATGAGACAACATGACATTTTGACAACATCACAGGAGGAAGGCGGTTATGACTTATTTTTGAAGAACTGAAGGTGTCACTACGTCACCATGTGTCACTCGGTTAATTAACTTCTCTGAAAAATTGTGACAACATGACATTTTGACAACATCACAGGAGGAAGGCGGTTATGACTTATTTTTGAAGAACTGAAGGGGTCACCAGGTCACCAGGTCACCAGGTCATTTAACTTCTCTGAAAAAATGAGACAACATGACATTTTGACAACATAGTGGGATTAATGAGGAAGGTATTTATTAATTATTTTTGAATAACTGATGAGGTCACCAGGTCACCAGGTCACCAGGTAATTTAACTTCTCTGAAAAAATGAGACAACATGACATTTTGACAACATCACAGGAGGAAGGCGGTTATGACTTATTTTTGAAGAACTGAAGGTGTCACTACGTCACCATGTGTCACTCGGTTAATTAACTTCTCTGAAAAATTGTGACAACATGACATTTTGACAACAGTCATGGAAATTTGATGCAGCCCAAAAATAAAGTTAGTTTTAAAATTATTTTTATTTTTTTATTCCTATATAAATGACAGCAACAAACAACAACAGCAACTTTATCGTTTCTGATGAAAAAGTTATTGATTCATTAGCTGAGGAATTAGTTGTGGCAGAAACTAAAACCCTCAACGAAAGAATTGGTGAAAACAAGATTGATTTACATAACTACCTCAAACACGATGGAGGAAGAGGAAGGAAAACTGGTACAGCTTTATTAGTAAATAAAATATCAAATTTAACGATTATAGATGTTGATATCAATAAATCATACAATGATGAACTTAAAGAAACAGTTAGAAAAGACATTTTATCAAAACTTTTGGATAAAGATGTTATCGTTAAAACCGCTTCAGGAGGTCTTCACATTTATTGTAACACTAATTTCTTCTATTCAGTTTCGAACAGAATGATTAAATGCTATTCCTGCAATGATTACGATATTGATATAATGACTTCTATTGATGATTCAAAGCGTTCTTTAGTAGTTATGGCTGATTCAAGAGTTCGCAAGAATGCAACAGAACCAATCAAAACATACTCATTCATTCGTGGAAGTTATGACTCAACATTAACCAGAACGGTGAATGATATATTAAATGATTTGAATATTAAGGTAAGAGTTGAACAGAAGAACGAAGAAATAAAGACTATCATGAATGAAAACAAAAATGTAAACATTGACGATAAACTCGCCCAGAGCATAGTTGATGGTATTAGTGATTTTGAAGTACATAATGACGGTGGAAACATGAATTTAGAAAAAGAAGTTACATTATTCACACTGTTTCAAGCAATTAATTCGTTACCTAATCATTTAATTAATGAAGCATACGATAACGTTTATAACTTCTGCAGCTTAACTGAAAATGCAAAAAGTAATTTTGAAAAAGCACGTAGTAGATATGCACATTTAATGACTTCTCCATTTGTTTTAGTGAAGATTCTAAAACTATATCAAAAGGAATATTATGATGAATATGTTTTGCCTTTATTACGTAAGCCAAAAATAACATTTGATATCAAACTTGATGACTCGTTTTTGATAACAGATATTAGACGCAAGGCTGAAAAACATCAGTATAAAAACAGTTCTGAAGTAATTGAGGATTTATCACGTGTAATCCGTTTTGTAGATTGTGGAAATAAATACTTCATTCAAAAAGATTACAACATACACGACAAAATGAATCAAATATCATTCGTTCTTCAATCAAACATGAAAGAGTCACTCAAAATGATTAAATTATTTAAAGAAGAAGGTAAAACCATAACAGCATGGGATGTACTACTAAATCAATTGTCTTCATTAACCGTTAAGGGTGTTTGCTTTAAATCTGATTCCCCAGATGTTTTCTCAACGTTTCAAGGTTATAAATACAACATTCTCGAAAAACCAGATTACTCAAAAATTGAGATGTTTATGAATTTCATTAAAGAAGCCATTTGTGATAATAACGATGAAGTGTATAAATACCTTCTCGGCTGGATTGCATCAATGATTCAACATCCTGGAATCAAGAATGAAACAGCAATTATTTTGAAAGGACTTCAGGGAACAGGTAAAAACAGATTTACAGACATTATTTCTGAACTTCTCGCTGGTTATTCATGCAAAAACATTACCGAAATAGGTGAGCTAACGGGTAATTTCAATTCAGTAGTTGAAAATAAAATGTTTCTTGTACTTAATGAACTCAAGAATGTAGGTGAAGATAGACTCGCAAACTTCAACGCTTTGAAATTAATTATAACGGATAATGAGATTAGAATTAATGAAAAGAATCAACCCAGAAGAACAGCACAGAACGTTGCAAACTTCATTTTCGTAACTAATAACGTTTACCCTGTCAAAATTGAAGTTGGAGACAGAAGATACGTAGTTTTAAGAGTTAATGGTAAATTTAAGGGTCAATTTGATTACTTCAAGAATTTAATGGATTCATGCACTAAGGAATTTTATGATAATTTACTAACATATTTTATGCAATATGACATTTCATCATTTAATGTACGAATCATACCGATGACTGAAGCCAAACAAGATTTAATTGAATTATCATCAAATCCTTTAGATGTATGGATAAATACACATTATGATGAATTGTGTGCAGGTATGACATGTAAAAATGCTCTATTCTGCAAACCATCAGACATGAAAGACAAAAACTTTCAAATGAGCATTAAAGATAAATGTGATAAGAAACAGAGAAGAATAGATGGTAAACAAACATGGTGTTATGTTTGGAAAGAAGAAATGAAAGGATTATATAAACAGGTTGAACCAAACGATAATGAGGATTCATTTACTGACGATGAAATACCTGTAAATGAAGCTTTATAAAGTATGATTTGAATTTATTTTTGCATTAATCCTGCTGTGTTGTCAAAATGTCATGTTGTCAGTAATTTTAAGAGAAGTTAATTAACCGAGTGACACATGGTGACGTAGTGACACCTTCAGTTCTTCAAAAATAATTAATTATTGAATAACCTAAAAACCATTAACGATAAAATAACTGATAACAAATTTTTATTTTTATCATAAATGAATACCCCACAAGCTCAAAATTTACCACGAATCATAACAAGGGAGGAAATGATAAAAATGATGCAAGAACAAATTAAAAACAACAAACCACGAAAA